GACAGGGACAGCCAAAAGTCCATTATGTGGCTCATAAATCTTTAACCCATATTCAAGTTTTCATATTATCTTTCTTTCACAACTAAAATGGCAGCCTATCATTTGGATCAAATATAAACTACCATAACACAGAAAGTTAATCTAAATTCACAGCATGAGAACTGGTGGGGAGGAACCTTACTATTAAACTTTCTGACCAATAGCCAGTTGGACAAAACATTTTTAAAAGATGCTCTGCAGTACATGGAAGTGCATGGGAAAATATCGCTAGTTGAGGTGTTAAAGCAGTTATGTCCTTTGGAAAATTTGCAAAGGCTGTCCCCAATTGGCCATATAGGTATTTTTATGATTGCCCATGAAAACGATGGCAGAGCATTTATGAGTATGCCCAAAACATTCTTAAAATTACAGATGTAAAATTCCAACAAAGATTGAGGACTTCAATATTAGTGATTCCACATCCAATTAGTGATTCTACATCCAAGACCTAGACACTGGCAGTGAAAACTATGCAGTATCCAAAGAAATGCCCTAATGAAATACACTATAGTATTCTATAAGGGAGTTCACGTGCATACAGAAAACAGATTTTGTAAGGCAGCAGTCAGAGGGAGAAATTCTAAACCCTACACTAATTTGGCTCCAAAACAATTGCATACACACACACACACGTGTGTGTGTGTGTGTGTGTGTGTGTGTGTGTGTGTGTGTGCGTGCATGCAGTTGTTTTGGAGCCAAATTATTATTCTAATAATATTACCTTCCTATATATACATGCTAATATGTTTAATCACCATTGATTATTGTTTATAGTTTAGACCTAGTTCAGGAACAAGTTAAAGGTATAAATGGGTATCCATATGACATATATAACAGCTTGACATATTCAAGCCTAAATTCAAATAAAAATATATAGCATTTATTTTATTTTATTGCAATAGAATTGTGTTTTCTCAAAGAATATACAATAGTGACATCATTTTATAAATAAATGTAATTATTTTGTAAATAAAAGCTAGTGTTGAGTTGTAAAATTTACTATGGTACATAAATATAAAAATTACATTCAGATGTGTTCATGCTGTTCATATAGATTTATTTAAAGAGCTGTTGCAATTTTATATTTATTCTAAATGTATTAGAAATTAAAAAGGTTGCTACAATGTTTTAGAGAACTAAATGAAAATTTCTTTTAAATTACAGCAAACTTATAAATTAAAAGAACTCAAAACACTGATATGCTTTTCACATGCATTTTAAAGAAAATTTTCAACAATAATTTATGTGTAAGTGCCATTTAAATGTAAATTATGATGTTTAAATGGCAAACCTGCAGATAATTTTTTTTCTTGTATCTAACTTAAAGACAAATTTAAAAAATGAAACAGCCCTTAACACTGGAAGAAATGATTATATAACATATAAACTTAAATACCCTGTTTCTCCAACAATATGGCCTCCCCCAATAGGAAGTCCCAGCATGTTTTATAGGCATGAAATGAAATTAAGTCCCTCCCCCCAAATTAAGGCCTATATTAAAACATGCGAAATGGGGGGGAATGGTGGTGGGGCTTGCCGTTAGGAAGTACTTTTGTTGCACACCCGGATATGGTGCTGCCTGCGTTGACCCCGATACGAAGTGCCCCACCAACGCCGAGGTCAACATCCAAGCCCTCACTGCCCGCCCACCCGAAGATGCAAGTGGGGGGAATTAAGTCACCCCCGAAAAGACGGCCTAGCTATTTTTTCAGGGCTCAAAAAAAATAAGACCCAGCCTTATTATATGAGAAACACGGTACTAGACAAAATATTTTATTCAGCAAAATAATGCCCATTTATGAAATGTTAGCTTTTACTTTTATTAATATACAAAGTATGATTATTTCTTTGTGATCAGATTGTTAGACCACATTACACAAGACAAAAATTATTTAAAATAAATCTATAAATCTCATAAAATCAGCCTACTTGAAAATATAGAATTTTTCACAGATTTTTTTTTTGTAACTATACTTTAAAAAAAACATTGTGATTTTTTAATTTATTTTTGGCAAAGAATATTGTCAGAGAAAAAACTGAAAAATATACAAATTCATATGAGACATGGGAAACCTCCCATTTAAACAGTTGTGCTCTCTCACTCTCTTTCATATGTGTATACATAAACATATGCACCTATATACATCTATAGCTATCAATCTATCTGTCTGTCTGTTTCTCTATCTACCTATGTATTCCCTTACTAAATAATACTAAAGTATGTGCCAGGCAGCATATAATATATCAATAACAACGTCTCACTATAGCACAAAGTAAAGGGGGGAAAATACCTCAGATACATACTCATGAGAGAGATTGTCAGTGTGCTAGAGTAAATGTCAGAGAATCTTTAAAGCTTGTTACTACTAGATTTAGCTAAAAATTGCTGCCTTGCACAAGAGATAAAATGTTCCAAGCATAATGCTCTATGAGACTGTTATTTACAAAACTGGTAAAATTTATTGACTGAATGATTGCTATCATGCTTGCCATGTAGACTGAATTTGTCCAAGAATTCAAGGCAACCTTCCTCAGATATAAGTAAAAACATACAGAATGTATACAAGTCACACATAGCCATATTTTATGGCCAAAATTGCAGTCTTCAGAGATTTCCATGGAGGAAAAAAAATACATTAAAACACATTTTACTAAGTGGGCAATCAAATTAAATCTGTTGACAATTCTTACAAATTCAATTCAACAATTAATACTCAATGTACTCTTAATCTATCTTGTAATAACATCTGGGAGGGATTCTTAATTTTTGCTGTTATAAAGTATGTTAAGCCTTGGAAAGAAAGAACTATGTAGACCAGAAAAAGTCAATGCCCTAAATGCCATTGAGATAGCAATATGGGTTGTTCCAGCATATCATATGAATGGTTTATTCAGCAGAAGAGCAAACTAATGCATTTTTGTTTCAATTAACTGGATGCATAAATTAGCTGCATGAACTTACTCCTCCACATTTTCTTGTTTTGGGAAGATGTGGGGGCAGGCTATAGCTTACTATTATACTCAAATCCTATATCACAATTAATTTAGAAAAACTTTGTCCAACCTTCCAGATGTATTCCAGTTAGAGATCCACCTTGGATTTCTCTTTCACGGTACATTTTAATCCCCCAGTGCTTTCCACTATGACACTGACAGCAAGCAGCAAATATGAAGTCAACTGTGATCCTTAGAAATGCTTGTATTTGGGGAAATTCCACAGCTATAAACAATAAATTGTGATTTATTATTGGCTTATTGAATGAACTTACACTTGGCACGCTATCTATGTGGACGGTGGGGTTTATTGGAAGCTTCTTGATTTGTTCCTTGTTTGGTTTTGCTAGCCTCAGGTGACAGCTTCTAGCCATCTCTGGAACCTTAAAAACTAAGCAGGATCTGGCCTGAATTGCTCTGGAATGTAGGCTAAATGGAAGGATCCAGAAGGCAGCAAACCATTTGCACACTACTACTGCATGGATGCTGTCTCTAGAAATCAAACTCAATTGTCTTTAATACACTTCCATAAATTATTCCCTTTTCACAATAGCTTTATAATACGTAAGTCTGATTCACTGGTAAGTTCTTGTTATGGTGCATATACTGTTTTATCAAGCATGTTAATTAGAAGACTAGAATATTTCCAAGATCTCTTAGTCTGTGCTCAGTTCACTTCACTTCCTGGTTTTCATGGATTTATTAAATACCAAATAAAAAGTAAATAAAAATTTACTTTCTTGCTACTACTTCTACTGAAGTTGCTCACTTTTGTTTAAGCTATCACTGTTGTATGGCAAAATGTGTTTTTGATTTACAGTTCATATGATACTTCAATATAAATGTTATACACTGTTTACCAAGAAAAGTTAAGACAGGTTTATAGTTGTGTATTAACAAAAAGCAAGGAAAAAAAATAAAACTGCCCAAACATATTGCAGTTCTTTTGTTTCTCACACTTTTACACCTGGCTCTTCCCCTCAAACATTCAAATTCCCCAAAAGATATATATTTATTTGTAACATGTTCACAATTTATCAACTTGTCAAGTTTGTTTGTTTTTGGAATGCCTACATATCAGTTTTTGACTCTTGGCAACTATGTAGACAAGTCGTTCCCATTTTCTCAGCAAGAATTTGGAAGTGGTTTGGCATTAGCTTCATCTTCTGAGAGAATAACAAGCCTAAAGTCATCCACCTGCCTTCATAAAATCATAGGGCTAGGCAGGACATTGGAAATTCATGATTGTCCAATCTTTTCTTAAAAACATTCAATGAGCACCTACAACCCTGGGAAGCAAGCTATTCCATTATTTAATTATTTTCACTATCAGGAAACTCTTCTTTAATGAGCCTCCATCGTTTCTTGTCCTACCTGCAGGTGCCAAGGAGAATAAATCAACACCATCTTCTCTGTGGTAGCTCTTCAAGTATTGCAAGATTGCTATCATGTCTCACCTCAGTTTTTTCTTTGTTAACATACCTAATTCCTTTGGCTATTCTTCATAGGATGTAGTCTCCAGACTCCTTATAATTCTTGTTGCTCTTCTTTGTATCTTTCTAGAATCTCAGCATCTTTTTTATATTGTGATGACAAGAAGTGGATACAGTATTCCAAATGTGGCCTCACCAATGGTGTACAACATTTCACTTATTTTTTATGCTATGTCAAAATCAGGACTAGAACTCCCAGTCTTCTGGTTTCTAGCCTGACACCTTAACCATTATACCAAACTGGCTCTCTTCAATATATTAACTTGACAGCTAAATTACTGCAAACCATTTCTGGATGGTCAAACCATCCATATTTGATTGCAGGCATCAGGTTGTCAGTCCACGGTCTGAACAGAATTGTCATTTATAAGCTTTAAATAAAAGTGATATTAAAGAGCAATACTGGTATTTTTTAAAATAATACTTTGTCTAATGCTTAAAAATCAAATAAAATGAATATATTTATATACTTACTGATTTAATTCTATATCCAGAATGAAAGAAGATCCAAAAGCATCAACCTGGAAGCTGGCTCTAGCAATATGAGTTGACTGCAATATAAAAATAATTGCAATTGGTTAGTTACCATATCATCATCCTAAAAAACAAAATTCTCCATTAATGCTTAAGTAGAAAAGTTATAACTAAGGTGCTTCTATAGAGAGAGAAACAAAAAAGCTAGCTGTATCATATTATACATATTGTGTGTTCCCACATATTTAATAACTTTAGAGTTTTTACTCTTTTTATTTATATCGCTGCCCATTTCACACCGTGGCATACAATAAACATTCTACAAAATGACATTAAAAACAATTAAAAATTCTACAAGACCATATTAAAATATTAAATAATCATACAAGGAAGATCATAAGAAGCAATGCAGGGGAATGTTACACTCATCATATGTACACAGATTTTATGTTGCCAGCAAATTCCCAGGTCTGTTGGAAAAAAACACATTTTAAGGTATTTCCAGAAGGTCATAAAGAGTTAACTTCACTTGGGGAGAGGAATGAAAATGGGCAGATACTATGGCAGAAAAAGCTTGTTCCTTAGAAAATCTTTCAAAGACATTACTCAAAGCATGCCTCTCCTTCTGAATCTGATGGGACAGGTAGATATCACTGGAGAGAGGCCAATGTACCTCAAATAGCCTGGCCTCTGCTATGTAAGTTTTTAAAGGACAAAGCCTGCACTTTCAACTGGACCTGAAAGCAAACTGGTAATCAATATGGCTCATGGAACAATGTCATCCTATTAGGGACAGATATAGTTGCAAGAACCACCAATTATGAACCAGCTGAAACTTCTGAGTACTTTTCAAGAGAGCCTTATGAAGAACATGTTACAGAAGCCCATTTGGAAGGTGAAGAAATTTTTAAAATAGGCACAGCAATATTGTATTTATGTTTAATTTTAATTTAAGTTTAATTTAAGTTTACAATTATACTGTATAGTGTAATACTAATGCAGTATCAGGAGTTTTCAATTCAATTGTATAGAATGTGAAGGATGTGTGCTTTTGTTTTATTTTTATAGTTTTCTTATGTATGATATACATTGAAGATGGCATTTAATTTCGTTGTACGAGGTGCAATGACAATAAAGTAAACTAAACTAATGCGGTAGTCTTTAGGTTACAGTAGCAATTGGGATTGGAATTTCCATTACTAAGCAATGCAGTTGTAATGCATGATGTCATGTGATTACATCCCTTAGCATTAATAATATCCCAGTTGCTATTATAATACTCAAGGACTATGCAGCTTGTTCAGTGATGATCTCGCATGACTGAAACATAGGAACAGACCAGAATCCCAGGCAAACAGGCTAAAGATTAGAACTACAGGCAGGTACTATTGAACATGAGTGGACAGGTGATCGTTTTCCCATTGACTATGCTTATAGAAAGCTGGCAGTGATCATGGATTGCTGAAACCATCATAATTGCAAGCCAGTTGCCAAGTACCTGAACTGTGATTACAGTAGAAATGCTATAATGACCACAATTTCACGGATCAGTTGTAAGTTTCCCTTATTCAGTGCTGTAACTTTAAAGGGTTGCTGAATTAATAGTTGTAACCTGAGGACAATCGTAAAATCTTTTAGGGGGCACCAATGTTAGCACTCCTTAGTAAATCTACTGGTATCACTAGGAAGCATGAAATTACAAGGTAGAACACACAATATTTAGAAATCCAATTTTAAGTTAGCAGTATATCTTTTCTTTCCTACATTGATCTGCTAAATGGTGTCTGAAATGTCAAGAGCAAACCAAAGTAGACATATCCAGTACACATTCATCCTAGATATACAAGAACTTACAATTGATCCCTGAAATTTCCCAGGACTCGAAAGTCTTATGATTGACTACTTCACACCAAGTCAATAGATGGAGATCTATTCATCTCGCCCACACAAAGCTTCTAAAATAGACTTAGAAAATCACCCTGTAATAAGTAAAGAAAAGGCCCAAGTCATGAGCTTTGTACTGCTATGAAACCACACAGGTGATATAACTCAATGATTTTATTTCATTACTCCACATAATATGTCTCTTCCTTTCATCCCCACACCAATAGTTCAATGCTCAATGTTTCATACTACCGGCTATTGTTGGACTTCCAGTTGTGAATATGATGGATTAAATGCCTCTGTCATTCTTGGACAGATGTCGCAGTATTTTTTACTCTCTGCATATTAGGATGATCTTTCTTTTCCCTCCAGATTGAAGAAATCAATCCACATGGGCCCTAGACGTTTGGCCCTCAAAAATAAATCACTAAAACAGAGATTCCCTTGATTGGCTGGTGAGTTGAGTGTCAGGGGAAAAGGGATTTTCACAATGTTCACAGTGCAACATAGCCAAATGTATGTTCATTAGAACCTTCCCCTAAGGACCTGTCACAAAGTAGATGGGAATCAGTCTGTTCTCCAAAGTATCCAAAGCCAAAACAAGAAGCAATGGATGGATACAAATCAGGCAGAGAACCAACCTAGAACTAAGGATAAATTTCCTAACAATTAGAACAATTAATCTGTCGAATCAGCTTACCTTCAGGAGATTTTTAAGAGGAGATTGAACAACCAGTGTCTGAAATGATAGAGTATCTTGCTTGAACAGGGAATTGAACTAAAATACCTCCAAGGACATTCCCAACTCTGTTATTCTGTTATCACTTTTTAGATTTATTCATCTTTGAAGCTAAAGCTGAAGCTTTGGAATAGACAAGTACTTCTCTATAGAGACTTTTTTTTTTCTTTTCTGGAGCTCCATTTAAATTGAAATATTGGAAACTTTTACTGGTAATCGCTTGACTTGCAAAAACTTGGAAACAAAAGAGACTAAAAGCATTTAAGTAGAAATAACTTTTATTTTTTTTAAAATGGAAATTGAAAACTTATTCTTTAATAAATCTAAATTGTGGGATTATTGCCTATCTTTGCACAATTTTTTAATCTACCGTGCGGCTGGCTGGACATATAAACAAAGGACTTCATTTTTTAAATCAAGAGCTACAATTTTTATCTTTCACCAGCATAGTGTGCTTGCTCTAGGCCATGACTATACATAAAGGTACCAGATAAGGTTGTGGAGATGAACCAATCCCACTGAAAGCAATATAATGCACACATAATATAAAGCAATATAATGTCCATAATGGATAATGTTGTAGGATCCAATCTGGGTTGGACCAGTACAATCTCATTGAACCTTACGAAAGCAATGTTTGATGATTTGAGTAAAAAACTGATACAATTCTAGAAGCTAAATTTGAAAAAAGTTTAAATAAAATTTCAGGGGAAATTAAGCAAGTAAATTACAGGATGGACTTTTTAGGAAAAAAGGGACTTGGAGCTAAAGAAAAGGTTGAATAATTTGACTCTGTTGGAACTCAGAGAGAAGGAATTTTATTTGTAGTTAAGAACGATTCCGGGAAATCCTTCGGCAAATATATGAAAACATTTTTTACTGAGTTATTGAGCTGTCAGGAGGAAAGGATGGAGGAAGAGTTGAATAAGGTGTTTCCCATGAATTCATGTTTTGCTGCAATGAAACAAACACCAAAAGACGTTTTAGCATATTTTGTGAGGAAAAAACAAGGGATCAACTTTTGCAATGTTACTATGAGGCAAGACTGAAGAGTGATAATGTTGATGTAATTGTTTTAAAGAAGACTCCTATTATGATCTTGCATAAGAGGAAAGATTATTTCTTCCTAACAGACATTTTGAAGCAAAAGGAATTCCATTTCACTGGGAAAGTTGGAGGCAATCATTTTTAATTTATAGCAACTAAGATACAGATTGAATATATTTCAAAAAGCTAAAGACTTTATGGAAAAATGTTAAGGATGAGTTGGATCAAACTTCACAAGGCTGCAATTAACTAAAGAAAAAGGATTTTACTTTGGGTGCTGCAGGACTTTGATAATTTTTTCTCTTGAAAATGGATTATAAATTTCTAATATGGGATATAAATGGAGCACATGCTTCTCAAAAGAAAAACTATTTTCACTGTTTGAGAAATTTGAAGCAAAATATAGCAATAGCAACAGCACCTATATACTGCTTCGTCAATGCTTTACAGCCCTCTCTAAGAGGAATACAGAGTCAGCATATTGCCCCCAACAATTTGGGTCCTCATTTTACCCACTGTTCTGTACAAAGAATTAACATACTTGCAAACCCCGCGCTGCGATTGGCTAAAGCGCGCGGCAACCGGATTGGTCGGGCAAGCCGCCCGGATTGGTCCGTTAAGAATCTCCCGCTATTGGTCGAGCCAAGAGCGGGAGATTCGAAACGATGTCATTGGCCGCGGGCCGCCGCGGCTTGGAAATAAAAGCCGGGGTTTTTCCTTCTTTCCCCCAAGCATGTACTGGAGCACAATAAAGAGCTGAACTTTGTCACTGACTCCGAGCTTCCTTCCTGCGCCGGACACGACACTGGCGACGAGGGTGGGATCCAAGAAGGAACCACCAAGCACGTGTCCGGAGGAAGACAAAGACCAACACAATGGCCGGCCTCACTCCGCCCGCACAATTCAACCCGACTACCGAGGACTGGGAATCGTACGCTGATCGTTTCCAGATGTACCTCGAGAGTAACAACTTGAAGGATGCCAACGGAAACAAGAAAAGGGCTGTTTTCCTGACACACTGCGGGCCCGCAGTGTTCAAAATGGCGAAAGCCCTCGCCAAACCCGCCGACGTAAAGACGATGGACTGGGCCGACCTTGCGCCATTGCTAAAAAACCACTACGCTCCTACCGTGCCCATCCTCATCCGACGAGACGAATTCTACCGGCGGAATCAGCGGCAGGACGAGAGCATAAACGACTTCATAGCCGCTCTAAGGGACCTCGGGGGTTTGTGCGAATTCCATGAACTAGACGACGTCCTCCGAGACCGCGTGGTCCTAGGTCTCCGGGACCAGGCGCTGAAAAGCCGTCTAATGGCAAAGGGGGACATCAGTCTCGATGTCGCCCTGGCAGAAGCGTCCGCCGCCGAAGCCACCAAGAAATCGGCAGCTCGACTACGGAAAGCAG